GGCTGGGTCTGTCAAAAATGTAATCTTTTGGTTTTGGTGACTTTGTCTAGGTGTTGTTGTCTGCTTTTGATGAGCTTCAAGGACAAGAAGATGGATACTATGTTGTTGTTGGAGGTATTACTCCAACACCTCTTGGAGAAGGCAAATCCACTACAACTGTTGGACTTTGTCAAGCTTTAGGAGCTTACCTTAATAAGAAGGTTTTGTTTTATAAACTTGTCTCTCTTTTTTTGTGTGTGTTGATTTAGGTTTTAAGTGTTGTTGCTTTACTTTAGGTTGTTACTTGTCTTCGTCAACCATCTCAAGGACCAACCTTTGGAATCAAAGGAGGTGCAGCAGGTGGTGGTTATAGTCAAGTGATTCCTATGGATGAGTTTAATCTTCATCTTACTGGAGATATTCACGCGATTACGGCTTCCAACAATCTTTTAGCTGCTGCAATCGACACTCGGATTTTCCATGAGGCGTCTCAATCGGATAAGGCGCTTTTCAATAGGTTGTGTCCTGTGAATAAAGAAGGGAAGCGTAGCTTCAGCGACATAATGTTTAGACGGTTGAATAAGCTCGGGATATCCAAGACTACTCCCGAGGAGCTTACTCCTGAGGAGATTAAGAAATTTGCTAGGCTTGATATTGATCCTGATTCTATCACTTGGAGAAGAGTGATGGATGTTAATGATCGGTTCTTGAGGAAGATTACTGTTGGTCAGGGACCTGAGGAAAAAGGAATGACTAGAGAAACTGGTTTCGACATTTCTGTTGCGAGTGAGATTATGGCTGTTTTGGCTTTAACAACCTCTCTAGGTGATATGAGAGAGAGGCTTGGGAAAATGGTGATTGGTAATAGCAAGGCCGGGGATCCGATAACAGCGGATGATCTTGGTGTTGGAGGAGCCTTGACTGTTCTAATGAAAGATGCTATTAATCCGACGCTTATGCAGACACTTGAAGGGACGCCTGTCCTAGTTCATGCTGGTCCTTTTGCAAACATAGCTCATGGAAATTCGTCTATTGTTGCTGATAAAATCGCTTTGAAGCTGGTGGGACCTGGTGGATTCGTGGTAACAGAAGCAGGTTTTGGTTCTGACATTGGAACAGAGAAGTTCATGAATATTAAGTGCCGATACAGCGGGCTAACGCCTCAGTGCGCGATTGTTGTGGCCACTGTTAGGGCCTTGAAAATGCATGGTGGTGGACCTGATGTTGTTGCCGGGAGGCCTCTTGATCATGCGTATGTAAGCGAGAATGTTTCCTTAGTTGAAGCTGGATGTGTGAATCTCGCAAAGCATATTTCAAACACAAAGGCGTACGGTGTGAATGTAGTTGTTGCTGTGAATATGTTCTCAACGGATACCGAAGCAGAACTAAATGCAGTAAGGAAGTTTTCAATGGATGCTGGTGCTTTCGATGCTGTGATTTGTTCTCACCATGCTCATGCTGGTAAAGGAGCGGTAATCTTCTCTCTTCTAAAACTCACACTTTGTGGTTATAGACATATAATATAGTCTGCAAATTTCAATCTCAGCTTATTTAAAGATGAATCGTCTCGTAAATGTTGTAGGTGGATCTTGGTATCGCGGTTGAAAAAGCTTGTCAAAACATTACACAGCCACTCAGGTTTCTCTACCCATTGGAGATTAGCATCAAAGATAAAATTGAGGCCATAGCTAAGTCCTATGGAGCCAGTGGTGTTGAATACTCAGACCAGGTGATTGATTGTATTCTTTGTTGCCTAGTCCAAACATTGTTAAAGAAACCTCTCTTATGTAGTATCTTTCTTCTTCTGTGATATTGTGACTGCAGGCAGAGAAACAGATTGAGATGTACACTCAACAAGGCTTCTCGAATCTTCCCATTTGCATGTCTAAAACACAATACTCATTCTCACATGATGCATCAAAGAAAGGAGCACCTACGGGGTTTGTGTTGCCGATAAGAGATGTAAGAGGAAGCATTGGAGCTGGTTTCATATATCCACTGGTGGGTACAATGAGTACAATGCCTGGACTTCCTACAAGACCTTGCTTCTACGAGATTGATATCGACAGTGTCACTGGAAAAGTTCGTGGCCTCTCTTAAATTTGGTGGATCAGTGTCCAAGCTTTTGAAGCTTCACTCACCATTTCTCCCACAATAAAAAAATGGCGATAGTTTGTACTTTGAAATCTGAGTGTTTTTTTTCATTTTGAAACGAATAAATAAAACCATCTCTCTCCTTCTGATTAATCTCTGAAAAACTCACTCTTCAAATTATGTGATTATTATTTGGCTCTCAAGTCAAAACTCAAGGTAAAGAAGTGACAGATAAAACTGCCGATGTTCAGAAACAAAGAATAAAAGCAAATCGAGTGACACAAAGTGTTTCTTCTAAATCCATTCGTTGTTAATATCTTCTTAATCAGAGCAGCTTGAAGAAATCATGCATTGAGAGGCTTGTAGAGCTTCTCAACCATCTTCTTATACTCTGCACAGGAAAACAACAGTGAACATAAGAAACTCATAACGACGAATATCAGAAAGATGAAAATGAGATTATTATATCTGTAATCTTTTTACCTTCTTGGTTGCTCCAGAGCTGAGCTGCTTGAGTGTTCAATGGTGAGCTGATGTTGGGTTCTGACCAAAGGAAAGACATGTAAAA